CACTCCGCTTGGTATTATTGTTCTTTAACCCTCTCTGTTCTTATTTTCATTTACTTGTCTTCTCACATTGAGGACAATGTGACATTCAAGTTTGGGGGTGCATTTATGCATTTTTGGTTTTGCATTTTTGCTAAGCAATGATATTGTAATTTGAAACCTGTTGGAGATGAAGCATATGTTTAATACCTTGTGTATAGAAGCAATTGTGACATTTTTGAAAATAAAGAAAAATTTGAGTTGAAATGATCATGTAGATTCAAATTAGTCTGTATAAATGTCTCAATTAGATTCTCGCCGGATTTGACACTCTTTTAAGCTTCACAATGCACAGATGCACATTGGAAACTTAACTGTGAGGCATGCAACTTGATTGACCTTGATCTTGGCCTAGTTAATCTGATTTGATGAACCTAATGGATGAATACTTTTGGCATGAATCTAACAAAAAAAAAAAACTGAGAAGGAAAGAAAATAATGACCAATTGACGTTCGTAGCCTTTCCAACTCGAGCTATTAAGCCCTAGGAGTGTCTCTACACTTAGCACCCTAAAGCCGTCTGGTTTGGGAGTTGTTGGCCTAACGCTTGCTACAAGGGTTGGTTAGAAAGCTTAAGGGACTTAAACATTGCACGGTCATTCAAAAAATAAACTGGTAATAAACATGGTTTGCTAGAGTTCGTAGCCTTTCCAACTTGAGCTATTAAGCCCTTTGGAGTGTCTCTACACTTAACACCCTAAAGCCATCTGGTTTGGGAGTTGTTGGCCTAACGCTTGCTACATAAGTTGGTTAGAAAGCTTAAGGGACTTCAGCATTGCACAACCATTCTATGTTTCGCTTATGAGTTACAATAAATTGTCAACAAGCAACAAAAGTTGTCTTGTAAATAAAATCATGCCTTAGGGACCTCATTTAAAGGGGAATTTAATGATTTGAAAACTTGTGCTTTGGAATTGGAAAAGAAAGTAAAAGCCGCATGTTGAGAATCCAATTCACTTTCACTGAAGCTAGAGTTGATTTCCATTCAAGAGATGATAATTGAGTTATTTATATAGACTTTGATGTTGATGCATGTATGTGGAAATGTATTTAGCCAATTTTTGTATCAATGCTTCATATATGCAAGGTAGTCTTCCCAATGACCCCATCTCCAGCTCTTTTTCTATTTCAAGTTATTTTTGAGCAATGTATATATCTTATTTTACCATGGATGATATTTTTGCAGTAGCAAGCCCATGGTTGTCTTTTCATTAAATTTTTCATTGTAGTTTTGCTAAGGAACTAGCAAAATGTAAGTTTGGGGGTGTGATTAGCGCCGAATATTATATATTCAAGCGCCCTAAATTGCATTAGTAAAGTCCGTTGTATGTTAATTTATGTAGATTATCTTCATTTCTATGTTTTTATGCATTTTCAGGTTCATTGGCCAAAATGGAACAAGAATAAGGCCTTATGGAATCTTGAGCAACAAAAGGTGCCAATGCTGAATTCTGGCAGCAGAGGAACCTGGGCTTTGCTCGCCATTTTGACCTTCCAAACTCGAGAACTGGACTTCACTCATAACATGAAAGATTTAGAGCTCTGAATCAGCTTTCCAAATCTTCAAACGGTTTGTCATTCGGAGCTCGGAGCAGAGAGTTATGGCCTTATTACCAGAGGTGCGCAGAACTGCCTGGCAGCAATGAAATTCTGCCTTGATCTTCATTTTCGACCAATCATCCTTGAGAATTGGATCTCCACCAAAACATGAAGTTTTTAGAGCTCTGAATTAGCTTTCCAAATATTCAAACGGTTCATCATTTGGAGTTTAGAGCACAAAGTTATGGCCATTTTACCAAAGTAGGTCCGGGATGAGCAAACCAAGCATAGGGCATTCTGGCCAATTTTCGAGTGCTCGAGGCCTAATTTCGAGTGCTCGAAATTAGGGCAGATTGCTTCACGAGATCAGCAGTGGAGTTAGAACTTTGCTCGCCATTTTGACCCAGAAAGCTCGAGAACTGGACTTCCATCATAACATGAAAGATTTAGAGCTCTGAATTAGCTTTCTAAATCTTCAAACGGTTCATCATTCGGAGCTCGGAGCAGAAAGTTATCGCCTTGTTACCAGAGGTGCGCAGAACTGCCTGGCAGCACTGAAGTACTGCCTTTCTCCCCATTTTCGACCAACCAGACTTGAGATTTGGGTCTTCATCAAAACATGAAGTTTTTAAAGCTCTGAATCAGCTCTCCAAATCTTTAAACGGTTTGTCATTCGGAGTTCGGAGCACAAAGTTATGGCTGTTTAACCAAAGTAGGTCTGGGCGGAGCAAGTGAAGCATGGGCATTTTTACACTAAATTCGAGCGCTCGAGGCCTTGCTTAGAGTGCTCGAATTTGGGGCAGAATTGCCTTCGGGAATTCTCATTTTGGCAGCCACTTGTGCATTGGTTTCCTCATTTTCTACTTACTTCTTTATGAGGTGGTTGGGGATGTTTTTTGGAGGAGAGAGAGAGCTTTGTTGAAGGAGATAAGGCAAGGAAGGCCACACATATCATTATCATATATTCTAGCAAGATAGAGGAGAGAGAAGAGAGCAAGGAGGAGGGTGTTCTTGAGTGCTACAGTAGGAGCACGAAAATGGAGTCTTGGATGGAGCTTCTTCCTTCTTCTAGCTTAGCAATGGGTAACTAACTCTTTCTCTAGGGAGGTGATGAAGTCCCTCCCTTGTAAGCATGTCCTAGGATAGTCTATTTTGGGGATTTGCCATGTATATTTTATGGTCTTTTCATAACCAAGAGCACCTCATTTGTTGTAATGAATGTTGATACATGTATGGATGATTTCTTTAAGTTGATTATCTTGTCTTAGATGATGTCTTAGAGTAATCATATTGCTTGAGTTTTTCATGGTGAGAGTGGAAGCAAGGTTATGAAATGGTTTCATGGCATGTTGATAGGTGACTTTGATAGACCATTGCTTAGGAAATCCTTTGATGGTGTATGCTTAATCTCTAACTCCATGTGCTTTATCATTTTGTCAAGAACTTGATAGTCTCTCATTTAAGTAAATGTGTATAAGCTACACCTTAGTTAGGTAGTCTAAGCATGTTTATCTTTTGATGGATTATACTTGTTTGAGACCTAATGTACCTCTTGATTACTTATATGGCAACCATGTGTTGTTATGTAAGTCTTGACCATCATATGTTGTTTTTCCCCCAATTTAGGTCTAATCTAGCATATGTATAGGGATGGAGGCGGATTCACTTCCCTAGTCTCCTCTTCTTAATCTTTTCATCCTAAATTCCTTGCAAATTAGTGTTTTATGCACTTTGAATTCCTAATTTAAGTGACAACAAACAAAACCTCTATGAACACCCCTTCATCATCCTAAGAATGACTCTAAACACTTAGGTTGCCTTAGACTGGCGTAGTCCCAGTGGTTCGACTTACCCGACCAATAGCCCTATTTTACAATGATTCGTGCTATTGCGAAGGTTGATGTTAATTGACCAAATCTCAAGTCTGGTTGGTCGAAAATGGGGAGAAAGGCAGTACTTCAGTGCTGCCAGGCAGTTCTGCGCACCTCTGGTAACAAGGCCATAACTCTCTGCTCCGAGCTCCGAATGATGAACTGCTTGAAGATTTGGAAAGCTGATTCAGAGCTCTAAATCTTTCATGTTATGAGAGAAGTCCAGTTCTCGAGTTTGGAAGGTCAAAATGGCGAGCAAAGCCCAGGTTCCTCTGCTGCCAGAATTCAGCATTGGCACCTTTTGTTGCTCAAGATTCCACAAGGCCTTATTCTTGTTCCATTTTGGCCAATGAACCTGAAAATGCATAAAAACATAGAAATGAAGATAATCTACATAAATTAACATACAACGGACTTTACTAATGCAATTTAGGGCGCTTGAATATATAATATTCGGCGCTAATCAGACAACAAATGCTTGTCAACTTCACTTTGATAACTGAGTCACCAAAAACACAGTATGACATAAGATCCTTTTCATTCAAAATTTATCAAGACAAATAGCATTAAACATTTCTTTTAGGACTCCTTACTATGTATTAATATTATTCTTTAATTGAATTGATCACTACTATATACACACATATAAAGTATTAATAGTACGCTCTCATCATGAGTTTGTATACTCCACTCTGGATTCAATGATTGAGAGTATGAACTCATGTAAGAGTTCCTGCGATTGTGGGTCGTTACAAGAGGGGTAGATTAAGGACCCAACAGTTGGGAAGCTAATTGTAAGCATTCTAAACATTGTTCACATCATATACATAAATATAAATACACAAAACACAGACTTGTTTTGCAAACCTTATACATGTATATAGATTGTTAAGACTTTAAATAAGGTTTTATATTTGATTCTTTTTTGCATCAAATTAAATATAATAAATAGAGTAAAATTCATTAATCATGTACACCAATTTATATAGCATCAAACACTTATATATAGCAAGGCCACAGACCCGTACAAACCCAACAAGGGAGAACAATATATACAAACAAGAAGTAGGGAATGCTCCTGTAACCGACCCATGCACAATTCATTGAAGAATCACACCATTATAAAGATATCTAGGAATTATCTCAAAATCATCATTAATATATACAACCACTAATTTTTACCTCCAAAAACCTAATATAATAGCCTACTTGATGTTTACTTGGACTGGACAAAGCCTAACTGATATATGCAACACTAAGTGTTAAATGAGTACCAAAAGAGAACGGAAAAAAGGAAGAAAGGCCATCAAAATTAATGTATGAAAAAGCTGAAATCCCGAACTTGACAAATTCAAAAGCAATGAAGAGAATGAGTTCACTATAAACCAATTTTGTCACAACCATAAACTACTGAACATGCATGAAAGAATCCAAATTGGAAATATAGAATCAATGACTATTATTTTTATTTTTGTTTATTCTTGGCAACTGACTGATCTCCATCAAATCTCCATCAAATAATCAGTAGGTAGACTGAAACCATATGCAAAAAAATCAGATCAAATTGCCAATCAACTCATTCAAGCACGGAATGAAAACTTCAACAAAATCGAAATCTATAAGAAAAAAATATTTATACAACATATCATTAAACTCATATAATCATAACATTTATATATGTATTTTCTTCTACAGGACTGAAGATGAGAGATTTTTCAAAAGCAAATCAAAAGCCTAAATTGCAAAACTCAATTATTTACAAAGTATCAGAATTGAGAAGAACAATCAATAAATTGTGAAGTGATTAAGAGATATAATTCAAGATTTGAAACTTACAGAGATTGCTTCAATCTATTGTTGATGGAGAAAATAACAGCATCTGTGATGGCTGTGATCCTTCTTCGCTTCTTTGTATCTTAGGGAGTCTGAACAAGGGTAATCTAGTTTGAGCCCCAATCCCATCCTTTCGCCTCAGGAGATAGCATTTAAACACGGATCAGCAAGGTAAGCTAAGTGGATGATGTTGATGGTTCAAGGAGGTGTTGATGGGTTTGGCTGACTACCTGGGCCTGTTGTAGAAAGTGCTTTCTACAAGGGTTATGCATGACCCTTTTAGAAAAAGTGTTGTTAAAAGCCCATTTTGTTGCAGTGTAGTCCCATTGTGAAAAACTGCAGGTCCTCGTCAAATCAGATCAAACAACAAATCCTTTTCCATTTCCTATTGATAAACAAAAGATCCGTTTTAGAATTAAAAATTTACATGTAGGATGATTAGCCAGGTCTGTTTACATGATTTAATTAGATTTTGGTAATTGTAAATATACATTTTTATTGCCCTAATTTTCTTTAGATAGGACGGAAGAGAGGGAGAAGGAAAAAACCATGAAGAGTGGAGGTTCTATATCTGATCTGAAGGAAAATCAAATTATCTGATCATAATTTGCCCTAATATTAAGCATATTAATACATCACAATTAGGGAGAACCAAATGGTATACCTATCCGTGATAGGTACATAAATACTCCTTTTGCTGTCATTACGAGTATCGGCACTCGAGAAAACAGCCATAGAAGGACACAAGTCGCGCACAATCCTGATTCATGGTTTGCCACACCATGCCCAACCTGATTTAAAAACAAAACATGAACATGAGAAAGACGTACAATAATGGTAAATGATGGATTTCAACAACTAGAATTCCAATAATATATACCTCATGTCCTAGAACGGTTGCTATTTCTGCATCTGAATTGTGAATGTCAAGCAACCCTTTAGAAATAACAATCTTCCCGTTGGAGAGGTACGCAGCATTTTTATCAGAAGATTCCACCGCCACCACCTGCCAATTCAATCCTTCCAAATGCATAGTCCCAAATTTTATGATCGATTTCTTAGGCCTCGTTTGGCTCTCCTCCTGGTGTACCCTTGATACAAGTAAAGTGTCTTTCGATCCATACCCTGAAACACAGCAGTCACGTTTAAGCTCTAAACCAGTGTGCATTCCTTGAACTATGTTTCTCAATATGGATTGCGCACGAACACTGTGTGGGTGTGTTGCACCAAGTATTCTCCCTTTGTTTTCCTTCTCCATATTCTCCAAGCAATGCTGTGCCAACCATCTTTCCAATTCGTTGGAGATTGTGAACATACGGATTCGCTTTGAGTATGGAACTCTCTGTATACGAATACGACCAAGGCTCTTGCTCATGCACATGCTATGCAGATTGATGCGTCTGCTTACATGCAAGACTTGTCAAACAAGACGCCTCTGCCTGCCTCTACCAACTGTGTTACATATTGCCTGGCAAGTTGGGAACCAACAGAATTGGGCACACACAAGGATACATATAGTGGGATTGCTTCTCTACTGACCCACTCCCATTGATCTCCGCATCTCCCTAGAGCTCCAACTGCCTCAGTCGTCGAAAATCACTTTCATTATAAAAAATTATGGTACAATGTGTTTGGTGAAAAAAAAAAAAAAAAACTAAACTGCTAGGTGGTAGAGTTTACGTCAAAGAAGCACGTTTAACTGAAGTTAGGAATCTATGTAACTTTTAAAATGGCGTTTAAGTGAAGTTAGGAATAGTAGCTTCTTTAAGTAAAGTTAAGAATGGTAGCTTTTAAAATTGCTTTACAAGTATAGGTTTTTGTTTTTAGGTAACTAATTTTTTTTAGACAATTTAATCCCTTTATATTTTTTATAATTACAGTTTTGCCCAATATTTAATATTAGGGAATTAGCACATGTTTAATGTAAAGGTAATATAGTAAAATCAGTAATAAAAGTGTTTTATGACAATTTATTACCAAGCAAATTTAAAAGTGCTTCAAGTATAAAAAGTACTTTATACAATTTGTCACCAAACTCATAAGTGTGTTTAACTAACAACAATTTTATAACAACTCTACTATCAACTATCAAAAGTGCTTTTAACATTCTAACAACAATCCCAAAGAGGCTCGTAGTAGTTACTGAAAAGAGTTCTCTGCCTTCTCACTTCATTTTGCATCTATTTGATTTTTTGTATGTTGTTAAAAAGAGGAGTGTGTGTTGCTTCCATCCATCCAGCTTTTGTAAAAGAAAGTGATTCAATAATAAGATTTATTATGTTTGAGAGCACCGAATTAGGGCTTTGAATTTAAAATTGGTTTTTACTAAAAAAAATTCAATTTCAAATTCAAAGAGCTGAGTGCTCCCGAATGCAACAGATATGTATATCCACTGCTGGAACTGGACATCCTCATTGAGATGTAATAAATAAAGAGCGTTGGTTTAGGTATGTGACATTGCATATCGAAGTACTGGAATAATTTCCTGTGATGTGTGAAATGTAATGGAAAGATAGTTGCCATGCCATCGAAGTTGTCTTTTTAGTTGTGCTATTTCTTTCTCTGTTTCGTGTTTGCTGTAATATATGTCCTAATGCTTACCACGCTTTGGAAGACAGTAGAGCCCTAAATAGTCACATCTCGTCTTGAGTGTCCTCTACGTTTGTATTATTATTATTTCTTCATTTTTCATTTTCAGTTGCATAGAAGGGAAAATGTGAGAAAGGATTGACAAAAAGTCCAGTCCGCGGCCATGTGAGAGCCAATTTGCTATTGTTTAACCCAGATTCTCCATCAGTAATTTCTTCAATGAGAAGGATTCTTGGGCTTCCTTTCTGCTGAAGAAGATGAAAATAATGGCAATGGTATCAAATGAATTAGCATAACTGATGAGAGATTGCGAGATAGAGAGAGAAAAAAAAAATTAAAAAAAAATAAAAAATCTGAAATCAGTGTTGTTTATTTTAAATTTGCCTGAGGGTATTTTTAGGTATTTCAATATTCAATTTGATAAAATGTACTTATTTGTACAATTTTGACTATACTTCTCTTTGTCAACGAAATTTCTTCCACTAAGAACTTGCAAAGTTAACCCTTGGATTCTAGGCCAGAGAAGAAACCACATTCAAAAATCTTTGCCTTCCAGTTTTATATCATACACAGAGAGACATCATTCCTCAAATTTATAATATAAGAAATTCATTAGTTGCTTCAAAATGATAGGATAACATGGTAAGCATGTATACTACAAAACACTCATAATTAGTTACATATACTTATCAAGAATAGACATTATTCCACTCTGTTGACAATACGAAGTTATTGACAATCTTAATATTTCTTCCGTCCCATATTAGATGTACTACACTGTGATGTTTCCAATTTTCAGCTTTTTTTCATTTTTCTGGAATTTTGTCACCGCAGGGGCATTTACGTCTTTTCTTATTTTTCGTGCCGGACATTGTGAAGTGTACCGGCTGTGTCCTAGAGTTGTTTGGGATATTTCATTGAGTCTAAAACTCTTTGAAATGTAAAGATCATTTTTCAATTTTTCGGACCGGACAGTTCTGTGTGTGGCCCGTTGCTTGTACTGTTGCATCCGGGGATTTTGAATGAGTCCATTTGCATTTCATGCATTTTATTTGATGTGCCATATGTGCATTTTATATAGTTGTGTGCGTATGTGTTGTTTGTAGTGTAAATTAAAAGCAAAAGAAAAAGAGAAAGGAAAAGAAATTTGGGTGGGACCCACCTCACCCCATTTAGGTGGTCTAGAGAGCACTTTGGGTCTCAATTCTCTCTATCTCTCCCGTCACTCTCTCTTCTCCTCTTAATCTTCACTTTTTCTTTTTCCTTTCCTTCATATTTCAATCTTAGAACTCTCACTTAACTTTTGGAGATTTGGAGTGCCGTTTGCGGTAAATTAAGGAGCGCATCGAGGACTTCGAATTGATCGGAGCCAATCTCTTTTTGGCTATCATTTAGAAAATCTCTAATTCTAGGGTTTGAGAAGAATTTGGGGGTTTTGCACAATCTTAGGGTAGGGGACTCTAATTCATACTTTTCTTGTACCCTTGTGAGTTTCCCTACTTGAATTATTGTCCTTAAATTAACTTGATTGCTTTCTTAGATGATTTAATTGAGTGCATGAAACATGTGATTATGTGGAATTGTTGGTTTATTTGAGAAGCATGATAAATGTTAATTTTCTATGTCTAAAGTGTTACAAATTGCTAGCTATGATGTTTGGAAAGCATGCTTAATTGAATTGTTGAAAATCCCTTAGTAGCATAGCCAGTGTTATTAAAAGCGTGCCTGGGCGCACGCCTAGGAGCACCTCATGCGCCTCATGCTAGCCCAAGCGCAGCGACCTTCACTAGGCGCACGCCTGGGCTGCGCCTTGGATAGTTTAAGAGGTGCGCTTAGGCGCGCTTCATATATTCTATGCTCCTTCAAATATTTGTTTGATGTATTACGTGTATGTTTGCTTGTTTAGTTTATATTATTATATATATATATATATAGTAAAGAAAAGGCTGCAGTAGAAATATAAAATGGAAATGTCTCCCAACAGTCAACAAAACAAATTAGTCAAAGAGCAAAGGCTGCAGCAGAAATAAAGACGTGTGGGAGTGGGAAAGAGAAAGAGAAGAGAGAGAGAAGAGAGAAAGAAAGAGAAGAGAAGAGCAGAGAAGAGGAGAGGGCTATTAGTCCGGCCGGCCAGGAATCACCTAATCAAATTAACAGGTCAGTTTTGTTTTTTTTTTTTTTTTTTTCCTTCTCCAGTTCTCCTCTTCTCTTCTCCTCTTCTCTCTCTCTCTTCATTTGCTCTAATCTCTATATCTCAGCCTTTAATTTTTTTTTTTCTTCTTCTTCTCTATTTCTCTGATTTTCTTCTTTCTTTTTCTGGGTCTATCAAATTAACAGGTCAGTTTTTTTTTTTTTTTCCTTCTCCAGTTCTCCTCTTCTCTCTCTCTCTTCATTTGCTCTAATCTCTATATCTCGGCCTTTAATTTTTTTTTAATTTTTTTGTTCTTCTTCTTCTCTATTTCTTTGATTTTCTTCTTTCTTTTTCTGGGTCTATCAAATTAACAAGTCAGTTTTTTTTTTTTTTTTTTCCTTCTCCAGTTCTCCTCTTCACTTCTCCTCTTCTCTCTCTCTCTTCATTTGCTCTAATCTCTATATCTCGCCCCTTTTTTTTTTTTTTTTTTTTTTTTTTCTTCTCTATTTCTCTGATTTTCTTCTTTCTTTTTCTGGGTCTCTAGTAGACTGGTATTTTTTTTTTCAGGTCTTTTATTTTTTTTCTTCTATCTTTTTCTCTATCTCTGTATATTTTTTTTTTCTTCTTTTTTTTTTCTCCGGCTCTGTTTCTGTTCTTCTGGGTCTTTTTTTTTTTTCTTCCTCCTCTCTATATATCTGGTTTTGTGTTTTTTTAGCTTTCTTTTTCTGGGTCTTTTTTTTTTTTTTTTTTCTTCTATCTTTTTCTCCATCTCTGTTTTTGTTCTTGTGGGTCTCTGTTTTTTTTTTTTCTTCTTTCTTTTTCTTCATCTACTCCTCTCCCGTGTCTTGCTATATATATATATATATATAATTATTTTTTTTGTTCTCTCTGGCCTGTATTTTTTTTCTCGTTGTATTTTTTTCCATCATTTTCAACTTCTTGGTGTATAGCTGTAAATTTGTACGCTCTTCAATCTTCATCATCATCAGTCTTCAGCAAACATAGTTTGCAGTGCTATATTACCCGCAGGAGAATCAGTACACCACCTCACCCTTTAATAAAGAAATACCGAACAGAATAAGACTTTTTAAAATTATTATTTTTTTGTTGTCTGTTGCATCTTAATTGCTGTAAAATTTCAGACTTTGGACGATGATGAGACTATGTTGTTTGGTGAAGAGGATGATATTTAGGTCCCTTAAGATTGTTTGGTAACTTTGGTTTTAGGAGTCCTTGCTAAAACACAAAACTGAAACTGATATTTTGTTGCTTGGTTTATAAATTTGGTAGGCTACTAAGTATTGACTATGATACTTTATAGATTTGGTAGGCTACTAAGTATCTTTTGATGGATCTGTTTTGGAGTCAAATGATAGCTTTTGCTTAAGACATCAAGTATAAATTTATAATATATGGTTAATTGGTTTATGTTTTGCTTTTTTTGAATCTTTCTTATGAATAAATAGTTTTATTAGTTTAATTGTTCTATTTTTCTAGTTGCTTTATTGGTTTAATTGTGATATATTTAGACTAATTTAGTGTTTTTATTATTGGATGTTCATTGTTTAATTGTGTTATTTTTGTTAACAATTATTGTTTTAAAATTTTACTTGTGCGCCTCACATCACTCAGACTCGCGCCTCGCCGTGCGCTTCGCGCCTAGGCTCCAAGGGACCTCTAGCGCCTCGGTGCGCCTTGGGCTTTTAATAACTATGAGCATAGCATTGAAGGCATGAGACACATAGATATACATCATTGGGTTCATAAGGATGGGAATGATTTTTCTTTGAAACAATGAAAAGGGGGATTTTCGGATGAAATTTGATAAAAAGGTTTTATGAAAACCCGGTCGCCGCGGGGGTACCAAAGGGCTAGAGGGTTAATATAGCCTAGAGGGAATTAGGGAGATTGCCCTAGCGTGGTTGAGCTAGTTGGGCTCAAAATGATGCCGCTGGGGTACTAACGGTCAGGGACACTAGCCAATCCTTCTCTCATGTCACTGCGGGGTCACCAAAGGGCGGGTTATATTAACCGTTTGAAAATGATGGTTTTGAACGATGAAAATGGGGAGTGACATTGGCACGCATTGCATCCCATTGCATCATATTGTGTACTTGAGATTGATTGATACGTGGTAATATCCCGACATCGTATGATCCCCATCTCCCATTACTCTATCCTTTGTTTGGATTTACGGGGCTACAAGGGGTGTACCTTAAGCGCTACCTACTGAGCTTTACGCTCACCCCATTATTTAATATTTTTCAGGAACCGAAAAAGAGGTAGCGAACGTCGACCTTCCACAAGCATGAAGATGACTAAGAGTTTAATTGTATTTTTGTGCATTTCCCATTTTTGTAAAGTCTCAAATTTTAGTAAAGTGTAATTAATTTTTGTCAACCATGGACATGTATTTAGACCTTAGCACTTGATTGTAAATGTTGTAAATTTGGGACTAGGTGTACACTTGTTGATGAATGGAAAGGGAATGTTGTATTACAACTCACTGATGATACCCTTTAGAATTGTATCATCATTTATTGTTGCCGTGAATCCGGAAATTCAATGTTTAATAGGTCCATTGTGGGTTAGTATACCTTATGCATAATCAGTATGCAGATTCCAGAGAGTTGAGTTGCTTCCCAGGGCTTTTCTACCTGTTGAACCTCTTCATCAGCCGATCGAAACCCCAGGTTCGGTCGACCGAACCCTCATCGTCAGCCAACCGGTGGCTCGCACAGTGAAAGTCCTGAGAACATTTAATTCTTCTTTTCGTTTCGGCCGACCGTGCCTCGTCAGTCGGCTGATGAAGGTCCATCAGCCGGTTGACTGTTTCTTTTTGATTTGCAATGTTTAACCATCAGTGTAAGCTTGCGTTCTTGAGTACTATGAGCCTCGGAGTGAGTCGCATGATAGGTATGAACATAGGAAAGGATGTGTATGACATTATGACCTAGTTGACTTCGGGTTCGAGTAAGGATCTGGGTAACGGTCCGAATCCACGGATTCGGGTTGTTGCATACATTCTAGATATTGTGATTTTTTTGAAGGAGAAATACAATTAATGCATTTTCCTCGTTTAAAATTATCAAGTTCTAAATTTTAAAAAATTAAAAGAACCCGAGTAAAAGTTTTGCAGGAAATGTAGTAAAATGTAGTTACTTCCCTTCTACATCCAAAAACGACAGTCAGATGTGAAATATACACCAAAAAAATAAATAAAAAAACTACTAGAGTGTAACACAAAATCTAGTCAATGTTGAGCTTTCCCTGTGAATTAGAGAAAGCAACGGCAGTAACACATTAATAGAATGAAGTGGCATTCTCTGATTGGCTATTGAAAATTTGGATCAAACAAAGCACTTCACCCCGTGTCCGGACATCACTCCCTTGTATATTTCCAGTGCTGTTCCCATCACTTTGTTTACCAACCTAGCTCTCTTTGGTCCAGATGGGTGAGTTGATGACAAATACTCTCCAGAATGACCAAGCCTCTCCCAATGTTTTGGCGCAACTTGAGGGTCATACCCAGCTGAAGCCATTAACATTAATCCAATGTAATCTGCTTCAATTTCCCTCCTAACAAAATAAGTAAATTACAAATAAAAATATAATCATCCAAAAAAGAAAAAGAGGAGAGACGCAAGAGAAGAAAGTGTGACACAGTAGTATACAAATATAGATCCAAATTAATTTGTTCCGTTAATGGGAACAAGTACTAAATAATAGCATATGAAAGCTATACATAACATTAATGTTAAGGACAAATTACGCTGACACCCTCCTCAGTTAAGTTAAATGTCATGTAGATGGATTTTTTGTTTTTAAATTAAACTTACATTTTAAAGAATTGATCTGTATTTGACTCACATCAGAGGGGTATAGAGACGATGACCAAAGAGTTGGACGGCGGCGGCGAGACAACTCCGTCATCGAGCGAAGCGGGGAGGTCGGCGAAGTGACATATTGAGTTTGGCCTCTCTCCATTAAGGGGTATTTTTGTATTTCTGATATTTTTTATTATATTGCATTAAAAAAGTAGGGCCATATATGACATTTCACATCATTTTTAATAAAATATTAAAAACAAAAAATCCATGTGAAATTTGACCTAATTTGAAAGGGGTGCCAATGTGATTTGACCTAATGTTAAGCATATCACAATTAGGGAATGAGAACCAAATGGTATACCTCCGTGATAGGTACAAAAATACTCCTTTTGCTATCATTGCGAGTAGCCCGCGAGATAACTGCCATACTATTCCACAAGCCGTGCATAATCCGGTTCTATGGCTTGCCACACCATGCCCAACCTGATTTAAAAACAAAACATGAACATGAGAAAGATGTACAATAATGGTAAATGAAGGATTTCAACAACTAATTAAACTAGAATTCGAATAATATATACCTCATGTCCTAGAACGGCTGCTATCTCTGCATCTGAATTGTGAATGTCAAGCAACCCTGTAGAAATAACAATCTTTCCGTTGGAGAGGTACGCAGCATTTTTTTCAGAAGAATCCACCGCCACCACTTGCCAATTCAATCCTTCCAAATGCATAGTCCCAAATTTTATGATAGATGTCTTAGGCCTCGTTTGGCTCTCCTCCTTGTGTACCTTTGATACAAGTAAAGTGCCTTCCGATCCATACCCTGAAACACTGCAGTCATGTTTAAGCTCTAAACCAGTGTGCATTCCTTGAACTATGTTTCTCAATATGGACTGCGCACGAACACTGTGTGGGTGTGTTGCACCAAGTATTCTCCCTTTGTTTTCCTTCTCCATATTCTCCCAGCAAAGCTGTGCCACGCATCTTTCTAATTCGTCGCAGAGTGTGAACATACGGATTCGCTTCGAGTATGGAACTCTCTGTATACGAATACGACTAACATGCCTCAGCCTCATGATCATGCTCATGATATGCAGATTGATGCGTCTGTATACATGCAAGACTTGTTAAACAAGTGCCTCTACCAACTGTGTTTCATGTTGCTGAGCTCGTGGGAAGTTGGAAACCAACAGAATTGGGCACACACAAGGATACTTATTACATATAGGAGTTAGTGAAAAGAGTTCTCTGCCGTGTACAATTTGTGAAATGTGTTTGAATATTTACCTTATCCAAAAAAATTAAAGTAAAAATATAAATCATCAGCTCATTTTACATGATTATACGAATACGAATAAGGCTCATGCTAATGCTATGCTCATGCTATGCAGATTGATGCGTCTGTATACATGCAAGACTTGTTAAACAAGACACCTATGCAGGGCAGAGCCAGAAATTAAATTCAGGGGGAAGGCACAGTGTAAAAAAAAATAAATAAATAAACATGACAATAAATGTAGATTATTCAAATCAAGAGGAAGGAAGAAAAATTACTCAAAATAATATGTCAATAAGTAAAGATAAATGGTTAACAAAAATTTTAAATAAGAAAGAAAAATGAGAGAACTTTGAAAGGGAAAAAAATTGGACTTTGATTTAAAAAAGAAATTTTGACTTTTTTTTAAGGAAATTAAACGAATTTAAAGAGTAATAAAGAGAGAATACAAAATTTCATTTTAAAATTTTTATAAGAAAATTAAATGAAATTAAAGAGTAACAAAGAGAGAATACAAAATTTAAGAGATAATTTTGAAAAATAAAAATTTTTGGGGGGCATTATAGAAATTAACACGTATGGCAAGTTGGGAACCAACTAAATTGGGCAGACACAGGGGTGGACCAGTGTGTGCCCAGAGGGGGCACATGCCTCCTAGCCTGGCCCTACCCACTATAAAATATAGTAATTTTTATTTTAATTTGTACATTTATAACAAAATTTGTATATAATGCCCTCCTAAAATTTTAAATTTCTAAAATTGCCTTCTAAATTTTTCTTTCCTTTTTCTTTTGCTCTTAATATTCCTTTGATTTCTTTAAAAAAAAAAAAAAAAAAGTTAAATTTTCCTTCTTTACTCAAACTGTATTTTTTTTTCCTTTCAAATTTCTCATTTTTCTTCCCTTTTTCTTCTTCTTTTTCTTATTAATTTTTTTTTGCTCCCTACTTTTTAACATTCTTCTTTTTGCACTTAAGAATGATGTATATAGAATATAGATTTTTTTTTTTTTTTTTTTTTTTTTTTTTTTTTTTTTTTTTTTTTTTTTTTTGTTCTTCTTATTTTATTTTTTTTAATTAAAATCCTGGCTCTGCCCAGAGTAGACACAAGGATACTTACATTTAGTAGTTACTGAAAAGAGTTCTCTGCAGTGGACAATTTGTAAAATATGTGTGTGAATATTTACCTAATTCAAAAATAATTAAAGTAAAAATATAAATCAGCAGCTCATTTTGGATCAAAAGCCATATTGTTTAAATATAAGTTAGGCAAGCATAAAATAGAACAAAAGCTTTTTATTTCACACCATCTTTAGTTCTTTTTATATTTTTAACATCATAATTGCACTTCTTATAAAGTGAGGACTCTCCAATTCTTTTTAACTTTATTTCAAATCCATTCAAGTTTTATATCCTCCCCCCCCCCCCCCCCCTCCCTTTTTTTTTTTTTTTTTTTTTTTTTTTTTTTTGAACTTTTCTTTGAATTCAAGTATATATTAACATTTTCTCACGATCTCTATCTTATATTAAAATTTGACAATAAAACTAAACTTAGAGATTTTTATTTTTTTCAACTCCAATATGTAGCTCAATTTTATGATGCTAGAACTTAATTGCTTGTGTTAATTATGTATCTCAAAATTTTGTGTGTGAGTGAAATTTAATTTAAAATTAATATTCAACAAAATAATTAAATATATATATTTTCAAATAGTAATTAAAATTAATTTTTTAAAATATCACACTAATATATTAACTAAGGTAAACAAATTACACGATTAAATAACGATGACAATTTACACAATCTTTACAATAATATAAAACATAATTAACAAAACTCTGAAATAATTAATTAACATAAAATTGACCCAAGCTGAAAGATATAAAAATAATAATTATTAATTAAAATTTTTAATTGGAATTTAATTATTGATATGTCTATTTTCAAACTCCCAAAACATTATCAAAATCAAGATTAATTTTATTTATTTATTACAATTCACTAATACTTATTTAGTAACGAATAATATTTAACAAGTCAATAAATATAATCATTGAATATTTTGTATGTATAATAATATCAACACGTATGTATTAGGTTTGGGAGCATTTGGACGGTTAGACCAACTGCTCTTACCTCAGGTTTTTGGAAGAAGCTTCTGAAAATAAGGGATATGGCAAGAGGCATTATAAGGTATAAGGTGGGAAATGGTGTGGTTAGACTTTTGGTTGCCTGATGGTCCCATTGTCAAACAACTTGGACTGAATGATATGAAAATTCTTCAACTGGACACCTTTGCCACAGTTGATATACTAATTTCCACCAATCATTGGTTGATCCCTCCCACAATCCAGTTCTCACAGTTCTTCCAATCACAGAGTTTCACCAACCAATTAACTACTTTCTCTTCCCTCACCATCTGATGAGCCTAACAGCATTGAGTGGCTTCCATGTCCCTCAGATGGATACTCATTTTCCCTTACTATGTCTTACTTCAACCCACCATCACCTATATTTAGTTAGAAGCATCTCTTATGGTTTAAACTCCACATACCAAAGCACAGCTGCATCTCTTGGCTAGCTGTGAGGGGTAGACTCTACACATTTGACTCCAAACCAATGCTCAACCAACGCTATGTCAACAGATGTTACTTTTGTTTGGCAGAAAATGAATCCTTGGATCATTTGTTCTTGAAGTGCACATACAGTTCTCAGGTTTGGAATTTTATTAAGAACATTGCACGCTTCTATATCCTTCCTAATTGCTGATCGTACAATGGTGTTCAAATCACTGGAACTCTACTAAGTATTTGACTCACAAGCTCCTTTGGTCTACTGCAATCTACTTCCTATGGCAAGAAAGAAATTCAAGAGTCTTTAGGAATGCTTCAGCCCCTCCTCAAATAAGTAGGTTTATAAATTTTTTTAGCTCTTACTAATAGGTTATTAGTCCAATAATATAATATCTTCTTTTTTTTTTTTTTTTTTTTTTGAAATTTAATATAATATCTCCTTTCTCAAAGAAGAGACGATGGATTCGAATTCGAAGTGAACCATTTATGAAATGTGTGAGTACTTAATCCAAAAATAATAATAATAATTCCATCAAACTCATTTTAGATCAAAAGCCATATTGTTTAAAGATGAAATTAAGTAAGAAGGAAACATACCAAAAGATTTTAATTTCATGGAACAAAACCCATAATGTGGATTATTGAAACCTATACAGTTCATCAACACGATGCTGCCAGCTGGGTCCTATAGAACCACACACAAATTCTTTTTGGCAGTTAACTATAATTTTTTTTTGGGAAGGTAGTTGACTAATTATACACATACACACACAACATACAAATACAAACACACTAACATAAATATTAGAGTTAATTACAAGTGGTTTGGCTTATTCACAATCATTTATAAGTTAGTCTCTTTTTGAAGGGTTAAGTGCAAAAAATTCCCATCTACTATCGATATAGTGCATATCAGTCACTGTGTAGTAAAAAACCCTTTTATACTATTAATTTGGTGCGATTGGATCCCTGGTGGTGTAAAATGACGATAATACCCTCACTTAGTTGAATAAATTAATGATTATAAATACAGGCCATGTAAAATGACTTTTTTGTTCAAATTTGTATAAAATGGGGTTTGTTTGGCAGGAGGATAATATAAACCTCAAATTGTATAAAATTAGAATAACCTAAACCTGAATATAATTAAATCTAAAACCAAACATGTCCTTTCATATTTTGAAATATAAATAAATTTGTAATATATATATATATATATATATATATATATATATATATGCACACACCATATATCATTAGGACAAATCTATGGGTTTTAGGGCAAATCATTTCAGCCTCCGCCTCCATGGCTGTGATTCAATTCAGTCAATTCCCGTTCTTGAAGAAAGCCATCCCAATTCTACTCTCACTCTCACTATTTTCCTTCTTGTTTTCTTACTACTCATTCATTTCCTTCTCCATTCCTTCAATCATGATGTTACTTCATTTTTCATCCAAACAGTTTCCTTTACCATTCACAGGAACTACATATTCCTCCTCTGCAATGGAATTCTTGTTTTTATGATCACCAGCTCTAGCCCGATCACTAACCCTTAACTGGGTAGTGATGTTGATGGCAAACACATCAAGAAGGACGACGAAGATCGGCGATCAATAGCGCTTGAATTTTCTGAACCAAAAGCATTAGTTTATGTATCTTCATTCTAAGTGGTTTCCATGAAATACGTATCTTTACTTTTGTAGAAAAGTACTCTAGTTGCTCCTGGTGTCCATAAGGGCATGGATGCATAGTTTTTCAGAATCTTTTTCTTTTCTTGGGGTGTTTTTCATAAATATCTTTTGAAGATATTTTATTTCAAGGGAGGCTAACTAATTGGGTCTCATGAACTACTTGGATAGGAGTTAGATGGGTATGGATAATTACCCATAGATAGTTCTATATGTATATATATAAATATATATGTATATACATATATATAAAAAGGAAAGTAATTTATTAATATTATAGTAACTTTAGTATTAATAAATACTCTGATGTATATATTTTATATATTTATATAATAAGGATACGTAACATGTTTTAAGTTACCTTTTTAATATTATGGTAAATTTAGTATAAATAAATAATCTGATGTATATATTTTATTTATTTGATGAGGATACAGATAAATTATATACGTAACATGTTTTAAGTTACTTTTTTAATATTATGGTAACTTTAGTATAAATAAATAATCTGATGTATATATTTTATTTATTTAATGAGGATACAGATAGATTATATACGTAACATGTTTTAAGTTACCTTTTAATATTATGGTAACTTTAGTATTAATAAATAATCTAATGTATATATTTTATTTAATTAATAAGGATATACATAGATTATATACTTAACATATTTTAAGTTACCTTTTTAATATTTTCATTTTTTATTTTTCTTTATTAAGTTGACTTGGATTGGAAAAAGGAATAGGGTTATTATTTAGCCTATAAATACACAACTATAGGTTGAAAAAGGAGTGAAAATATATCACGTAATATATTCTAGAGAGAGAGAGTTAGAGAGAGAAGGAGAAAGAGGAAGGAAGGAGGAGAAAACCCTTTAGAGAGAAGATCAAGGAAGAAGAAGTTTAACTTTCAATCTGAAAGTTTAAGGCAAGTTCTTCTTCTATCTCTTTCCCTTTGATTCGTGTTTCTATACATGCCTAGGAAATTTCAGGATTTATTAAACACATAAAATTAAATAATTATGCATGTTTAATTGGATTAGAATATAGATTTTATGAATTTGGTTCATATCTGTTCTTGTGTTATGAATTGATAAATGCATGATTTTGATTTGATTTCCGGTGGGAATTTTTACATATTTGAATTATGTATATTTCATATCTGTGGAATGATGGAACGTAGAAACATGCTTAGGATTTCTGAACATTAAATAGGAACTAGGTTTGGGTTTAAATAAATTTAAATAGACTCAATCATAATTATGCTTGCTATTTGAATGTTTTAAATAAACGAATGAATTTAATCTTTTAATATGTTTTAACAATTGAGATTAAATGTGTAGGATGAATTGGATATGGAGAATGTTTATTCGACGGTATGATAAAATATCATCATATGTATAAGATTCAGTTTATGTAGGACATATGATATATGAAACTTAAATAAATAATAAGTCATTCCTATTTTGTGATAACTTGAAATCATAGTATCATAGTTATTTCTGGATTGTTTGATGTATTTCCTTAATCGTTACATCAATTGTTGAATTGTGTGGCATTCTAGGGACGGATTAACTTATCAGTTAAGTCCTACCTATTTTATATAAGGGAATGGATTAACTAAAATGTTAAGTCCTATTTATATTCAAGTCAGGTCAGCTGAACAAGTTAAATGACTTATGGAGGATTAATTTATTATATAAGGGAATGGATTAACTAAAATGTTAAGTCCTACTTATATTCAAGTCAGGTCAGCTGAACAAGTTGAATGACTTATGGAGGATAAATTTATACTGGATAGGATGGTTACTAGATTATATATATATAAGTATGGTGCCATGATATGAGCTTGAGTCTCAGAATCAGTGGTTAGGGTACGTATATCGCCAGGGATGTGTAGCTAGATATAGTGTAGTTGTGTACCTTGGTAGGTCTAGGTACTCATGTCCACTATATGTGCGTTTTGCATGTTGCCTACTATTCAGGTTGAGACAACCCTATAGTCTAGTGAGGTTCCTTTAGTGTGTATATATATATATACGGACTACTAGTTACTGTTGGATTGACTAGGATGTATACATGTATCGGATCTCTACTTGGACTGTAGTAGAGTAGAACTTATTTGTGGGCCTGACCCACCATTATTTTTCAGGTGTTCGTCAGGAGTAGAGGTTGTTCGTGCTGAGTTGGGATCAGTCTACTTCATTCTTCCGATGCTACATAGGAGTTCCTTTATAATTCAGTTTCCTGATTTAGACAGTTATTGCTGTCATTTGTTTAGTTTGGATTTTCTAGGGGTCCACACAGTATGGATTCCTGAGTTGTATTTTGGAGGATCAGTTGTATCAGAAGAGTTTATTAATTAATGGAAATATATTCTGAGGTTTATTATTAGATTATCATTTTAGTTTCTTGTCAGCATTTTATTTATTCCTCTTTATTCTTTTGTACTCTGTATTCATTTATTATCAATTTGTTTTGATATCCTCGGGTATTCGGGCGTGGGCCTGGCCAACACGCATTTAGAAATCCGGAGGTATCACATAACATAATGCAGCAGCAGCTCACATCCATCTTCATTAATGCCAGTAGAATATCCAATCAAAATGCCTAACGAGATTTTTCTAAACAACACACTTTGCTTAAAGCTAATCCCACATGATGATTTTGCTGCAAAGGATGCAGAACTGTTGACAATTTCATTCCAATATTTGATGTAAATGTCTTGAAATTCTTGGAGCCAGTATTGGATAGTTCTACAATCAAATTCCTTTAAGAGTGGATTTTCCTCACTGATGTCATGAAATTTGGGTTTCTTGAGTTTTTTTCTTGTAGCCAGCTTTTACTTTGTAATAGAGAGAGAGCAAATTGAGATTAGATGCTGGGGGCCTTTTATGCACAATGCTGAGAGACTTTTATACACAAATGGTGAGGGGCAAAATGGGAAACAAAAGGGTAAAATGGGGTTTTAAGTTTTACTTTTTGTAAAAAGTTGTCAGAGGGATCGGTTATGCACCTTTTTTGAATTTTGTGGACTTGCATGCATTTTTTCAAAAAGTAGGGACTTGTTCGGCACAAAGTCTATATATCAGGTGAGTTTTTTGCACTTAACCCCTTTTTGAATAATGACCACCCCCAAGTTTGATAAAGTTAACAAAAATACCCCTATCACAATTGACACGTAATGAATTGACATTATTACCTTTTAACTTATAAATTAATTTATTTAAAATATAAAATTACCTTTTTAACCTTCCATTCAATCTCAAACCTAAATAAACATGTATGCATTTCTATATATATATAGATAGATATTTCGTCCCGTCTGTTTTTTTGGGACAAAAATAGCCTCAATACAATCTCTCTATTTAAAAAAACAAATGGGTATTCAAGTAATTTCGTAAACAAATACCCGCTAGGTCAGGGATCCTGGGCCTGTCTTCTCTTCTCTATCATGCAATTTCTCTCTAAAATGCATTGCAGGGACCATGTCGCTACCGCCGCCGCCGCCGGAGATCAGATATGGCCAATAAACCACCACATCTCCCCAACAAAACCCGCCACCACCATCCCGCCGCACAACCACCAACAGCGAACACATACCTAAGGATGAACAACCACCAACACCACCACAATATCTGTCGACGTCTTCATCGCCACCCCACTACACAACTACCATCGCCATCCCTACCAATAACCACCGCCGCCACCCCATAGCCGATAACCACCACCACCATCCCTACCCACAACCACCGTCGTCATCCCCATAGCCGAAAAGCACCGATACCATCCCCATAGCCGGCAATCTCCACGTTGGGGGTGCGTGAGGCCCATTCCGACAGTGCGTGATTCCGGCAATGGGTTGGGGCCAAAAAGGGGCGATTTGACTGCATAGTGCCATCCCTTCGACGATGACGATCTGAAACCTCCAGCGCCGACAATTAGCGCAATCTGAGACATTGATTGATCTCGATCTCCTAATCATACGCACCTTATTGCTTGTTTTCAACACCAACCAGACGATGATTTGCTCCGATTACTCTCATTAAAGTTGTTAAAGGGTAGTTTCGTCAATTAAAATAGTTGATATTTTAAATAAAAATTTAATATTTTTATTAGAGGGCAAATAAGACATTTTACTCTATTTTAGACTATGTTTAGATCCATATCTGACCAGGGATGTCATTATTAGAAAACAGACTAACTTACAAATGGTTGTCAATGGACTAAACCAAGAGTGTCATTATAATTAACTTTAAATATTAAATACATTGTTATCTGAAAAGAGATTTAAAAAATTATAATAATTCAAAAAAAAAATCTTGTATTATGTATGTGAATATATATGTGTATATATATTTTATAAGGACTAGTCTCTCTGTCTCTCTTTATTTTTTTTTATTATATTTTTTGCTGGAGGACTGTTCTCTTGAAGAATAATGCTTTACACACCGGGAGACTATATTTAAAAAAAAACAAAAAAAGATAGCTGATTTGTAAATTTACTTCACTTAGTGAAATTTCTTCCACCAAGAAAATATAAGCTAAGGCTCCGTTTTTTTTTTTGGGAAGATATTTTTTTTTAAGGTAAAATATTATTTTATTTTTATTTTTGTCGGTATTTGATAAAGGTCTATGTTAATATTGAGTTCGAGTCCATCCAACGAGACATATAAAATAACTTGTCAAAAATTAATTGATAAATTATTTTTATTAAATTTAAAATTTTTTTTTCAGACAATTAAATATCAAAAAATTAAAAAAAAAATTTTAAAAAATATTTTACGTCTAAACAAACAATAGAACCTAGTGTAAATTTACTTCACCGCGTACTATGCTGCTCAGGAAAAAAAAAACATGCATTCTCCCAATCGCTATCGAAAATTTGGATTAAACAAAGCACTTCACCCTGTTTCCAGACCTCACTCCCTTGTATATTTCCAGTGCTTCTCCCATCACTTTATTTTTGTTCAGCGACCTAGCTCTCGTCTCTCCGGATGGATGAGTTGATAACAAATTCTTTTCAGAATCATCAAGCATCTCATAAAATGTTGGTGCAACTTCAGGGTCATAACCAGCTGAAGCCATTAACATTAATCCAATGTAATCCGCTTCCAATTCATGCCTACCAAAAAAAATTAAAAATCAATTAAATAAGAAAAAATTTTATTAAAATTGGAGAAGAGGAAAGAAGAATGAACACTTTCGGCTAGGCTGATACCGTATGTAACCTCCCACTATAATTACACATTTAAGCATATTAACACATCTTAACTAGGGGATTGTATACCTCTGCAGTATTTACATATGTATTCGTTTTGCTATCATTGAGAGTATCGGCACATAATAAAATGGCCAATCTTAAAAAAAAAAAAAAAAAAAAAAAAAAAAAAAAAAAAGAGAAAGATGTACTATTCACTAAAAGACGTCCAATGTGGAAGGATTGATTTCCCTTTTGACTTCATGTTCACTTACAAAAAATTGCCTTATGTATAAAATGACACAATTACCTCTTGGACCATTTTAAAAGACCAAAATGCTCAAAACTTAAACCACCTCCTCTTCCTCCTCTCTCAGAGAGAGAGAGAGAGAGAGAGAGAGAGAGAGAGAGAGCTAGCCAATCCACACGCGCACACGTGGCTGCTAACATGAGTCCTCTTTTTATCTCACTTTTTCTTCGCGGCTGGTGAGAAGAAGTTTGAATCAAAGGAGTATGGAGACGATGCGAGGTGGGTGCTGACCAGAGAGTTGGTCGGTGAAGACATGGAGGACGGCGACGAGACGACTCCGTCATCAAGCAAAACAAGAGAGGTCTGAAATGGCGAAGTGACAGATTGCAGCAAACAGTTTGGGATTTCAGTCACCGAAAAGTAATGGCCTCGCCCCATTAAGGGAAATTTTTATATTTTTGCATTTCTGATATTATATTGCATTAAAAAAGTAGGACCACATTTCACATCATTTTAAATAAAATATTAAAAACAAAAAGTCCATGTGGGATTTGAACTAATTTGAGGGCTGCCAATATAATTTGACCTAATGCATGTTAAGCATATCACAATTAGGGGATGAGAACCAAAACGGTATACCTCCGTGATATGTACATAAGCACTCCTTTTGCTATCATTGCGAGTATCGGCATGCGAGATATCAGGCATACTAGGCCACAAGCCGTGCAGTATCCTGATTCATGGCATGCCACACCATGCCCAACCTGATTTAAAAACAAAACATGAACATGAGAAAGATGTACAATAATGGTAAATGAAGGATTTCAACAACTAATTAAACTAGAATTCGAATAATATATACCTCATGTCCTAGAACGGCTGCTATCTCTGCATCTGAATTGTGGATGTCAAGCAACCCAGTAGAAATAACAATCTTCCCGTTGGAGAGGTACGCAGCATTTTTATCAGAAGAATCCACCGCCACCACTTGCCAATTCAATCCTTCCAAATGCATAGTCCCAAATTTTATGATAGATGTCTTAGGCCTCGTTTGGCTCTCCTCCTGGTGTAACCTTGATACAAGTAAAGTGCCTTCCGATCCATACCCTGAAACACTGCAGTCACGTTTAAGCTCTAAACCAGTGTGCATTCCTTGAACTATGTTTCTCAATATGGACTGCGCACGAACACTGTGTGGGTGTGTTGCACCAAGTATTCTGTCTTTGTTTTTCTTCCCCATATTCTCCCAGCAATGCTGTGCATACCATCTTTCCAATTCGTCGGAGATTGTGAACATACGGATTCGCTTCGAGTATGGAACTCTCTGTATACGAATACGACAAAAAAGGCTCAGGCTCGGGCTCGGGCTCATGCTATGCAGATTGATATATGCGTCTGTGTCACATGCAAGACTTGTTAAACAAGACACCTCTGTCTGGGAACCAACAGAATTGGGCACACACATGGATACTCACACACACATATATATATAGTAGTTACTGAAAATAGTTCCCTGCCTAAGGCAAGCTTAAAATAGAACAAAAGCTTTTTATTTCACACCATCTTTAGTTCTTTTTATATTTTTAATATCATAATTGCACTTCTTATAAAGTGAGGACTCTCCTAATTCTTTTTTACTTTATTTCAATTCATTTAAGTTTTATGTCAAGTTCCATTCCCCCTCTCTCTTGAACTCTTTTGGAATTTCAACTCTTTTTCTTATATTATTTTTTTACTTTTCTTTGAATTCGAGTATATTAACATTTTCTCACAATCTCTGTCGTATACTAGTATTAAAATTTGACAGTAAAACTGCTTAAGAATTTTATTTTTTTCAACTCAAATATGTAGCTCAAATTTATGATACTATAACTTAATTGCCCGACTTAACTATGTAAGCTCAAAATTTTGTATATACTAGTAAAATTTAATTTAAAATTAATATTCAACAAAATAATTAAATATCTATTTTCTCAAATAGTTAATTAAAATTAATTTCTTAAAATAATCACACTAATATATTAATTAAGATAAACAAATTACATGATTAAATAACGATGACAATTTACACAATCTTTACAATAATAAATTAAAAAATTATTCTATAAAACATAATTAACAAAACTCTGAAATAATTAATTAACATAAAATTGACACAAAGAAAAAGATATAAAAATAATAATTATTAATTAAAATTTTTAATAGGAATTAAATTATTGATATGTGTATTTTCAAACTCCTAAAACAATATCAAAATAAAGATTTCCTTTTATTGCAAAACTCATAATAAAAAAGTAATTTGAGTTTTATGGAAATCTTCTAAACACATTTACCAAAAAAAAAAAACTCTTTTAAACACACTATATTAATTAAAATAATAATAACTCATAATAAATAGGTAATTCTTTTCAACAGAAATTCAATTATTGACAAGTGTATTTTCAAACTCCAAAAATAATTTCAAAATCAAGAATATATATATATTTTTTTTTACAATTCACTAATACTTATTTTAGTAATGAATAATATTCAACAAGTCAATGAATATAATTATTGACTATTTTATTTATCTATACTAAGAGTATATATTTCCTTTTATATATTTCCTTGTCTAATTAGAGATACTAAAGTATTTATTTTCTTTATATATTCCCTCCGAGCTATTTAGCCCGATAAATAAAAACCTACTATTTCACCGAGTCTATGTGGTTGTCTATGTGTCAAATATAATGGGTCCTATTTTTAACTATAAAGTAATTAACTATTTGAAAATTTGCCTATCTTTCTATTCTTTTACAAATAAAATTCAAAAATCCTATCAACTCCCTATGATTTCATCTTAATATTTTTCGTTGACAATTAAAGTTTGAATCACCATGAAACTTTAATATATATATATCTATACTTATATTATTAAAAGTGTAAAGAATTTCAATATTTCAATATTTATTTATTAATATAAAAAAATATTTATTAATTTATATAAAAAGAGATTTTTAAAAAGTTTCTATAAAACTCTAACACAAATTACTATTTATGTATTTATTATGAGTTTTTTTAATAAAGGAATATCTAATTAGACATGGATATATTTAATAATTTCTATAAAACTTTACAACAAATTACCAATTTCTATAAAACTCTACCACAAATTACTTATTTTATCTTCTATAAAACTGTATCACATATAACATATATTCATCTATTTATTATGAATTTTTTATAAAAGGATATCTAATTAGACAATGATATATTTAAAGATAATAAAATAATTTCTATAAAACTCTACCAAAAAAAATATTTATTAGTTGATGTAAAACGAATTTTTAAAAAAGTTTCTATAGAATTCTAACACAAATTATCTCTTATCTATTTATTAGACAAAAATATATTTAAAAAAAATAAAATAATTTCTATAAAATTCTACCACAAATTACTTATTTCTATAAAACTTTATCACAAATTACCTATTTTATTTTCTATAAAACAATATCATATATAACCAATATTTATCTATTTATTATGAATTTTTTAATAAAAAAATCTAATCAAACAAGGATATATTTAAAGAAAAAAAAAATAATTTTGCGCTTTAATTTGATTTTCTTATGTTTGGATTTTGAATTCTATTATCAAGTTTAAGTTTGGGTGTTTCTATTTTGTGAAATGTGTAGACTAACATTTCCAATTATTCAAACTCAGTAATCTTTAAGGTCAGTAATACCATAAAATTAGTGTCTAAATTAAGCTAATTTCACATTGCAATTGTAGGGTGGACTGAAGATTTCGGATTTTTGATGCTCTGTACAATCAAGAAGCAAGAGACACACATGGTGTGTGTGGAACTTTGGATTATCAAGCACCAGAAATGGTGGAGAACAAAAGATCATGGAGCATCCCTGGATAATTAAATATGCTGATCCATCGGGTACCTGCTCTAATTAGCAATTTTAGTTTCTAGTATTCTGCATCCCTGGATAATTAAATATGCAATTTTCATTTTAGCCTATGTTCTGTGAATTCTTGGAAAAAGGTAGTAATTTGTATGAATAATATGCAAAAGGACACTGTGGTAAATTATTCGTATCTTGCTAAGTTTTCTAGAGTGACTATAACTATAGAAGAGAACTGATATTAGGATCTATCAAGTAGTCAGAGTGAACCTACCAAACACAATAAACAAAACCAGAAGAAAATCTCGACATCACTTGCTTTTTACTAGCAGAGTTGGTTTATTTTCTCAAGTAAATCCTAGAAAGAGAACCAACTGCAATGAACTCTGTTGGCAAGTATATTCTAGTATCTCTAGCAGGTCTTGTATTCATGCATGACATTAAATAAATTTCTTAAATCTTTTATTTTATACTAAATTAACAAAAAGGAAAGGAACATGTTATAAAATAATTAAAAGAGTGTAATATTATTAACAATAATATATATATATAACATAAAATGAAAGATTTTGGTAAAATGAAAGATTCTGTTTCTAGTCATTATCAGTGTTACCATTAGTAACTCAATAACAAACAATGACTATGCTGCTCTAGCCTGATATCATTCATGTTGCAGGAAAATATGCCTTCTCCCTTTCGATATTGAAAATTTGGATTAAACAAAGGACTTCACCTCGTGTCGAGACCTCACTCCCTTATATATTTCCATTGCTTCTCCCATCACTTCGTTTTGTTGCAGCGACCTAGCTCTCGTTTCTCCAGATGGGTGAGTTTCGAACAAATCCTCTTTATAATCACAAATCCTCTCATAAAAGGATGGTGCAACTTGAGGGTCATACCCAGCTGAAGCCATTAACATTAATCCAATGTAATCTGCTTCCAATTCCCCCCTACCAAATACACACACACGCTAAATAAGAAAAAAATAAAAAAAAAATGAAGAAAAGGAAAGAAGAGTGACAGAAAAGTGTGGAACTTGTAGGTGTTTACCCAAATTAGTGTTAACTTGCAAACAAAAATCATTTAAATATTTAGTTTATGTGTTGACTTGTGCCGTAAATCAATCTGTCATAGAGGAATCATAGTTAGGAAAATTAGTACTCTCAAGAATTTTTTACTTGCAGTAAGCAGTTAGGACTTGGGAGTAGTTTTTGACAATTAATTTAAGTATCCAAGAATGCCTAAACATCATAGAAGCCTCCAATCTACTCACTGTCACTTTGACACCCAATAGTAACTAATTTTAAGCATACAAATATAGATCCATATTAATTTGTACGACACTAGTTTATAAAGCACATGGAAGATTGAAACTACTCCTAAAACTAGCGACCTGGTCTTAGTAATTCTATATTACTAAGACCATATTATGCAACTGGAAGCATCATGTACAACTTTCCGTAGATTATAATTTAGTAAATAAATTGGGAATTTTTCACATTTATAATATGTGCGCGAAATTATTGAATAAGTAAATTACATGCAACAAAAATTTGTTCACGAGCCATGTATGGAAATACTAGGAATATTAATTACATGATGGAATACAGTTTTGGTGCATTTTATCATAAAAGGGGAAATAATACAAGAAATTAACATGAAAGCATCCATTTGCATTTAACCGAACTTGTTTCCAGAAGATATTTCAGTTGCTTAACAATAGTTGTGTTAATTGGACCAAGTACAAAATAATTCATATGAATGTATACATAACATTAACGTTAAGCATATTAACACATCTCAATTAGGGGATCTGGTATACCTCCTCAATATGTACTTATATACTCGGTCTGCTATGATTGAGAGTTTCGGCACATAATAAAAAGGCCGTACAAGGGCATAAATCACCAAATATTCTGATACGTGCCATGCCACACCATGCCCAACCTGATAACAAAAACATGAACATGAGAAAGATGTATGTACAATGTGGAATGATTTCAACAACTATGAATTCGAATAATAAATCACACCCAAACATGATACATACATACCTCATGTGCTAGAAAAGTTGCTATATCTATATCTGAATTGCAATAGTCAAGTATCCCTGTATAAACAACAATCTTGCCGTTATTGTGGTACTCAGCATTTACCACATGAGATTCCACCAGCATCACTTCCCAATTCAATCCTTCCAAATGACTAGTCCCAAACTTTATGATACTTTCCTTTGGCCTCTTTCGGTATTCTCTTGATACAAGTAAAGCGTCTTCAGATCCATTACTTGAAACATAGCAGTGACGATTAAGCCCTAAACCGGTGTGCATTCCTTGAACTATGTCTCTCAATATGGACTGCACTCGAACACTTTGTGGGTGTGTTGAAGGAAGTATTATCTCTGGGTCTAAGATGTACGGATCCTCCCTCCATAGTCTTTCCAATATGATGTGGGACGGTGTGACCATTCGGATTCTTTTCGAGTATGGAACCCTCTCCAAACTGGCAAACAGTAAAACAAATATGGTTAAAAAATATATAATTCTTTGAAGGCATGATAGGCACCCCATTC